TCACTGGGCTCCTTCTCTCCCCACCTCTCGGCCAACTCTTGGCCCCTCCCCGTGGCCTCCGGCTAGGCTATCGCCCCCACCTCCCTTCGGCCCTAGTTCCTGCCTCCAACTCATTTGGCCTGTCATCCTGGCTGTCAGACTGGGCAGAAAGCTGTCAGGGTGCCAAAGGGTTGATGGAGCAGCTGGTCAGAGGGTCAGTGCCCTGGACCCACCCCGCCCCACAGCCAAGGGCACCTGCTTGGCACAGACTCTCAGCAGCCGCTGAGTCCTGTGGACTGACCAGAGCCGGCTCAGACAGAGGGGAATAGGAAGGAGTTGGGACTGGTCACCTGGGAGAAGGAAGGTACCGCAAAGTTCATGCCTCCCAAGAGGGTTTTGTAGTTTGAAAACCTCCCACCCCAACCCTAATCTTTCCTACCCTCTGAGTATAAAAATCTCAAGGCTAGACCACCTTGGCCGCTCCCATTGTCATGGGCCATGCCCTTGGCCTGAGTGTCAGCACAGACCCGCCCTCCCCAGCTCACAGCCCCCAAGCCTGCCACGCCCCCAGCCCCCTCCCTGGGCCATGCTGCAGGGCCCGGCTTTTCCTGCTGATTCATGCGTTGGAACTGTGGAGGCGGGGCTTGGAACTTGGAACAAAGTTCAGACATGGAGGGGCAGGCAGACAGCCTGGAATTCATACCAGATGTACCCGGAATGCGCAAGCGGAATGCCTGGCATTTGAGAATCCTGGGGAGGCTGCCCAACCACCCTTCCCAATCTCCTCTCTTAGCCTCTGGTCCCCTGTCCTCTCCTCACAGTCCCAGGAGCCTCTGCTGACCTACCAAACTCTAGACCTCCTCCCTTCCTCACTCTTCCCCAGATGCAGGCCCCCGAAACCCTCCTTCCAGCTGAACTCCCTGGGAACAAGTCAGTTGAGCTGATCACTGAACTCATATTTCTGGACCGAAGATACAACTTCTCACCTAGTACATGGGTTACAGATAGAGTGTGTTCAGGGTCCCAGGTCCTGCCTTCTTTGAATGCTGAGTAGGCTGCTCCGTACCCCCACTCCGTCCCCCATGAGTAGCTGGGACAAGGGGAGGTGAGAGCGGGCCTGGGTTTCTACAGCATTCAGGTTTGGAAAGAGGAGCAAGGGAAGTATGTTTAGAGCTGCCTCTTGCTTCTCACTGAAGTTAATAGCTCCTGCAGGCTCAGGTCAGAGCCAAGAACCCTTCTTTAGAAGATTGAGTATCTGCTGGGGCTGGACTTTGATGGCCAGTGGGACAGTGTCCCTGAGACATGACCCTGCTGAGGTCTTTCCCATTTTTCTTTCCTTTCTGTTTAGGATCCTGTACCTCCCACATTCTCACCTGGCTGAGCCGCAGTAGTTCTTCAGTGGCAAGCTTTATGTCCTGACCCAGCTAAAGCTGCCAGTTGAAGAACTGTTGCCCTCTGCCCTTGGCTTCGAGGAGGAGGAAGAAGAGGAAGAGGAGCAGGAGCTGCTTTCCCCCTCATTTGGAAGGTGACAGAACTGGGGCTGGGAAGGTCTGAACAGCGGGAGTGATGATACCTTTCGGGAATGGGAACCCTGTTCGGTTGGAGAGCCTTCACCCCAATTGGACCAGCAAGAGAGAACAATTTTAGATTAGAAAACCTGGCTGAATTAGGGAATAGCTGGCTCTGATTACCCAAGGTTAGTTGGTCTTTGTGTGACAATGGGAACAAGTAGAGCAAAGAAAACCCTGTCTACTCCTTTACCCAGATATTTTTCTTGACCCTCCTTCCTTGTCCCCCCATTCTTTCCACTAGTCTTTCCACGTGAAGTCCAGAAATAAGTTTCCTCCCAGGAAAAAGGTCATACTGAAATGCCCATCTTAGTAGTCATCCCTCTGCGCTTACCTTTCCCTGCATTTTCTTAGATTGGCTCAGGCTCTAGATTCAGGGATACTCACCTATATGTGAGACCCTCATAGACTTCCCATCTCAGCTTTCTCCACCTACCTGTGAGATTGGGAATTGCCCAGTTGGGTATGCATGAAGGAATCAGAAACCTTTGTGCAGATTCAGAGCTTGAGGTGAGAACAAAACAGCTTTTCATACAAGCATTGCCCCTACCCCATCCCTGACCATAACCCCAGGAACTGGAGGAGGGGGAGGGCTGGAGGGAGGGGCTAGTAGGAGCTCAGTCTGACTTCCTACCATGCAAAGGTGGCCCCAGGCTTCCCCTGCCACCCAAAGTAAGACTGTGGCCCCTGGTGGGGTTCCAGCTACCATTGCTCTCTTTCTTGCCTCACTTTACTTTCCAGGATAGTATGTGAGACTCAGCTCAGTTCTGTGCAGGCAGGAAATTCTCCCCTCCAGTAACCGGGAGAGCTGAGTTGTGGGATATGACCCCCACTGGGGCATCAGGCAGTGTAAACCTGCACCCCCAGCTCCTGATCCAACCTCACTCTTGGGCTCAGGCTCTGGTATGGTTCAGCCTTGGCCCAGTCTCTCTGCCTGAAGGTGGCCACATCCAGGGTCTACAAGAAGCTGTTTGTTCTATTTTGGGGGAGGAGGTGTGCAGGGAGCTGGGTCCTATTCCCCATTTATGAGAAACTGAAAGATTTAGAAGAGAGAAGACCATTGAACCCAGCTCTTCTGCAGCCCAAGCTGAATGTGTGTGGGACTGCATTCGAAGGGGGAGGGTAGACTGAGTCCACTCATAGGCCACAACAAAGATCACTCTGTCCCTGGATATTGCTTCCATCCTTTCTTCCCCTCCTCGCTTCACTGGCCACGGTGTCTCCCCTCCAGCCCTGGGTATGTGGCTCTGTCATCCTTACCTATCATGGAGCAGAGATGAGGAAGAACAGCCTGGGAACACAGGCAGGCAGAAGACCAGTGAAGGACAAGGCCTGGAGAGCACAGGGCCCTGTCTGCGCACCCTGCAGAGGGGGCCCATAAAGGCTAGGAGCATCCCAGGGGGAGAGAAGACAGCCAACCTTCATCAAGGACAAGCCTCCAGCCATCTTCTTCATTCATCATTTCTCTCCAGCCTTTCTGTCTCCCTCAGAGATGTGGGACCATATTAAAGTGTCTGGTGGCTTCATCTCCTACTTCCACCTCTCCTCCACCCTGTAATTTTTATATAAGCAGCTTCAAGGAGCAAGAGCCAGCTGTGAAAGGACAGATAGAGGAAATTCATAAAAGAAATTCAAATGGTGAAAACCATGAAAAATGTGCCTAATTAGTAATTAAAAAGAGTCAAATACAGCTGTACGCATTTTTCCCATAGCAAGCTATAACAAAAAATATGACCCAGTTATTGCTAAAGGAGTACTAAAATAACACTCCCATACAGTGCATATACGCGTAGAAATTGGTACAGCCTTCCTGGACGTCAGTTTGGTAATACGTGTCAAACAAACATTACCTTAGCCTTTGACCTAGTAATTACTACATTTGGGAATTTATCCTAAGAAAATAATGAAAGATTTAGTTATAACATGTTCATGCCAGCATTGCAATAGAGAAAAATAGAAGGAACTCTCTGGTTGGGAATTCATTTCTGCTATACTGGAAATTTGCAATAGGGGATTGCTTAAGTAAATTATTGTATATCCAGCCAGAGGGTGGAGTACTGCACAGCCATTCAAAGTCATGTAGAAGAACATTTGACTGGAAAGAAGAATGCTCTTTGAATATTAAAAAGGTTATAAAAATAGTGTATATTTTGTGATTTCAATTTTGTTTTTTAAGATGTAGGTATATATGATTTGTACTTGTATACATAAAACAGATAAAGACTGAGGACACACTCCAAAATGTAGATTATTGTGGTTATCTTGGAATAAGGTGGTGGAATAAAGTAATTGTAATTTTATTCAGTTTCTTTTTGTGTAATTTGCAAATTTCCTACATTAATTGTGTATGGCTTTCATATAACATAAAATTTAAAAGAATCGGTGTAATTAAAAAAAAAAGTTTGGAGAGGTGGGTGTGGAAGAATGAAGGGATAGATGCCCTTAGCTCCTTGGACTTAATGGGGTTTTGGTGGAGAACAGGGGTTGTGAGAGTGTTTAGGGGAACACTTATTGGTTTATGAAGTTCATTCTTTAGAAGTAGCTGAAATCCACCCTCTCCGTGTTCAGGAAACAGCTCTCTGAATTGCTGGCTGTTAGCCAGCTAAAGAGGCATGGAGTGGTAAGACAAGGAAAACAGTAAAAACCTATCACTCTTCGGAAAATAGGGGTTGGGGGGAATATTTTCCTCTCCAGGCTGAAAGGTTCTAGAATCCAAATAGTCCTGCTGCTGAAAGCATAATGGGTCTTGTTTTTTTCTCTTTGGTTTTGGCCTTCCCTTGAGGTGACCCTGTGTGATTTCTCCTTGTCTCCTCAGGTTGGAAAGGATATTCAATACACCCAACAGGTACCATGGTGGTTAGGATGCTTTCCAAGGCTAGTGCCGAGTGGTTCCCTTTGCCTTCCCTTCCTAATAATCAGGAATCCCTAGTGGGTCACGTATCCCAAATGGAGCTGCTCCATTTGAGAGGTACTATAGAAGTGGGCAGGACTCCTGTAATTACATGGTTGCTGGGATGTGTTAAAGGTCTGGAAAACTCAGGAGGTCCAAAGGGCGGTTCCAAGGAAGACGGGTGCCCTCTCTCCCACAACTGAGAGGTGGGGGGGGGGGTGCAGCAGTGCGTTGGCGAGGTTTAAGCAAGTGGAGGTGCGTTTGCCTCTATTTTCAGGTCTGTGTGGGTGTGGTGGGAGGGATGACCAGCCGGTGAGAGGTTAGAGTAAAGAAAGGGGTGAACGTTAGTGGGGCGGGACCTCTGGGAATGTCAGGTGAGATTAGAGATCTATTTCTGGAGCTCTGAGGGGTTCAGGACAGAGAGTTGGGGTAGACCCCTATCGACCTGAGCTCCACTGCATTGCCTGGTTCCCGGGAGCTCCCAATTCGCGGTTCGTCGCTAGGGCGGGACGCGATCGGTTGCCGTGGCTCCGGTGGTGGCTGCACGGCTGCTCCAATCACCGCCCAGCCAAGGGATGGGGGCGTGGACGAGCCTTGGAAAAGTTACAGCAGATTGCAAAGGCGGCGGGCGAGGGATCACAGAGACCCAGCCCTGCAGGGAGGCGGAGATTTGCAGCGGGTGTTGGATGCGTCGGGGCCGTAAGCAGTGTAGAGGCCCGAGGGACAGATCCGGACCTCGCCCGCCCGCCAAGCCATGGCGCCCTCAGGGCACCTCGTGACCGGAGCCTCCTTCGCCTCCTTCCGGGGGATGCACTGGGGGCTGCAGCTGCTGCCCACGCCAAGATCTGCTGCTCAGGACCGTTGGAAGTGGCGGAACACCTGTGTCTCGCTGGCGCTCAGTCTGTTCACCGGGACCGGGGCGCTGCTCGGGTGCGGGGCTTAGAGGTTCCGGAGGCGTGAGGGTGAGGGGTGGAAGGCTTACATTTGAAGACCTGGCTGACACCTTTAAAATTGATGTGAGACCTTGAGAGTCAGAGGCTAAGGTGAGGGTGTGGATGGATGAGTGGGCGTTCACAGCGAGAGAATGGGATCCGGGTCTGCATGACGCTGACTGTGTGGCTCCCCTCAACTCCTCCAGGCTGAAGCTGTACCCTCAGATGGCCACCGACCCCATTCAGGTCCCCCGCCCCCCCCCCCCCCCCGGGCCCTGGTGCTGGTGGCTGTATCCGGGGGTGAGACTGCAGGGAAGGCTGGGCCGGTTTGTGGGCTGGGGCAACCTTCCCATGGTAATTCCAGGACCTCTTCTGGCAGCTTTACCGAGGGAGACTACAGAGCTGGAAAGAGAAGGGGATGGAGATTCCTCTCCAGGCTGTATACCAGCTTAAGGGAAGCCTAATGTCCCGCTACCCCTTGCCCACAGGTTATTTCCTGGCTGATGGAGCTGACATGCTGTGGAACCAGACCCTGGCCCAAGCCTGGAACCATCTCTGTCACCATTTGGTGGTGAGACTCAGGGAGAGGCCAGACAGGAAGGAAGGTGTGCCTCCAATCTCTCATCAGCTTTCTGTCCTATGACTTCCCGGAGTGTCTCTGACCCCCCTGGTACTTGACCCTCCCAACCTTGGGCTGAACTGGGGGAGGGGATTGACTGCTGGTCACAGCTGGGAGTTTGAGCACTGTGTGAGAAGTTTGGATTCCCACAGGGGTCCAGCCAATTGCAGAAATGTTGAATATGGAGCTTTTCTGAGAAGGCAGAGCCCCAATATTGGGAGTGGGGATGGGGCATGAAAGGCGAAGAATGGAAGTTAAGGGGGTACTGTGCAGATGCTGCAGCCCCAGAGGAGATAGCCTCTGGGCCAAGGCTGTTTCCATCCTAGGGAAGGATTGTTTCAAAGCCATTCAGGCCCCTGACATAAGGGTAAGCATAATGGTTGGGTGTTTTGGGGGAGGGGGCTGCCAGAAAATACTTGGGAGCCCCTTTCCTAAGGACCAGGATATTGGGATATGATGGGTGGTTGGTCTTAGAAGGTCCTCTGATCTTTGACCCTGGCTCCTCAGGTAGTCAGCTGCCTCAGCACTGCCATTCTCTCAGGCCACTACGTGGGCTTCTCTGTGGTGTCTCTGCTCCTGGAGCTGAACTCCGCCTGCCTGCACCTAAGAAAGTTGCTGCTGCTTTCTCAACAGGCCCCATCCTTGGCTTTCAGTGTGGCCAGCTGGTCCACCTGGTACCGCTGGGGTGGATGAGTCTATGGTTGATCGAGCAGCAGACCAGGTGCCTCCTACTCTGGTTGTTCTCGGTGGAACTGGGCTGGTCACTGTGGGTACCATGAGCATCATACTGAGTGTCCGTATTTTGGTTTGTGATGTCCTGTGTTCTCGGCCCCGCTCATCTATCCTTGGTCACGAGGAAATCAGGAATCCCAGGAGATACTGTGATGGTGAGACTGACACTAGGGATGATTCTACTCTCAGCCTGAAAGACTAGAGAGAAATCTCAGGTTCCTCTTCTGCCAGTCTTGAAGGAGGTAGGACCAGGAAAAGAAGATGGTGGTCATCAATGCACAGTCCCCTACTGGGGTAAGAACTGGACTGGATTTTCAGTATCTCATTCCCTCTTCCAGCTAACTCACACCCCTCCCCCATTCCTAGGATCTGAGAAGAAATACTAATGATGTTCATGGGTAGGAATCTGGGCTATTTTTCACTGAATCTTATCATCAGATGACTGTTCTTTCCCGCAAACTAACTCAAAAGATACAGCCACTGCTACCAATAAGGATAGCAGGAGGCATGAAACTGGACAAAACTAACAATAGGAACAGAAACCCTTTGCTTTAGATGAGGAAAGATCTCACTAGGATCAGAGAAATCTGGTATGGAGTGGGTGAGGTCAGAGAGACCTCACCTATGACCAAATTCTGGCAGTGGGAGGAGAATACAACAGGTGCTCTCTGTAGCCAGTTGATATGTAGACATAACAGTTGCCAAGAGACCGAAGAACCTGGGCCATAGCAATTGCTGCTGGTATTTCTGGTTCTCATAGCCCCGTTGTGCTTGTACTTAACCCTAATCATTCTGTGTCCAGCATCTGCCTTTTTAATTTTTTTAGCATCTTCTGACCTTTTTAAAGAAAATGCATATTCTTAGAGGAATGAACATGGGGCTAGGTCTGTCTTCTTAGGACAATACTAAAGTCCAGAGCCATAACAAGGACTCAAACGCCCATTCTGCAGTGTAGGGTCTTCCCAGGCCCAGGTTTTCATGGAAGAAGGAAGCAGAGACAAAAGCAGTTGAGGGAAAGCTTCCATTGGGCTGCAGAGGGATTAAGGAATATCTGACTCTCTTCTGGGAGTCATTTGCAAGCTCCCCTTTCTCCCCTGCTGCTTCTGCTGATTTTTTTTTTCTCCTACTGCACAAGACCCCTCCCTTCTTCAGGCAAAACATCCAGGTTATGGGAAGTGCAGAACGGATTAAGGTTGCTATTCTACTAAACAATGGATGGAGAGAGATAACCCATAGTGACCCACAGAAAAGATACATGAGCAAAAGGAAGCAACAGGAAGATTTATTTTTTTAATCCTGCCAAAAAGCTGAGCTAGAGGAAAGCAAAGGGGATGTTAGAGACAGACAGACATAGATTGGGAGACAGATAGAAAGAGAAGGATTATGGGCTGGCCGAGTGGCGCGATGGTTAAGAACTGGCTTGGGGCCGAGTGGCGTGATGGTTAAGAACTGGCTTGGGATGCCAGAGGGCCCCGGTTCGGATCCCACATGAGGGCCAGTGACACTGCCCTCCACAGCTA